GGAGTGCTACCCTGTCATTGTGGAGGCTACCTGTATGTGGTACTGAGCAAGTTCCAAAGGAGGTGTGCACAAAGGCTCGTGAAGGCCAATAAGTGATGAGCAGGAACAATGGAAGCAGCCACTCACAGCCTTGTAGTGTGCGTGGATGAGGGCAGCAGAGAATGAGGAGTGCAATAGTGTGATTATGTTGTGCGCAGACACAAAAGCAATTTTTCATATGATCCCTTGCTGGTGTCCCATGAACAAGTATTGTTGGAATTCCACTTCCTTATTTTCTTCCACAAAAGCTTCTTCCACTTAAAGAGGAACAAATAATTTACACAATGGGTGCAGAGATGATCTCATGTCCTGGCTGTTCCTGGTCATTGTACTGTCCCTTGTCCTTGCAATCAAGACTTAAAAAAAAAGTTTTTGGTGCCACTTTTCAGCCAGGAGCATTGTGCTTTTGAGGGAATGAGGGAGGGAAGACTCCCATCTGTTCCTGGTCATTGTACTGTCCCTTGTCCTTGCGATCAAGACTTTTCAGCCAGGATCATTGTGCTTTTGAGGGAATGCGGGAGGGAAGACTCCCATGCTTAGTTCTCTCTAACGTATCTGGGCTGCACTACTTCAGTCTCTATGTGGGGGCCCTACAAAAAATCCTCTATGCATATAAAACTGTCAGGGAGAAGAATTGTAGCTATGACTGTCGACAGGCCTGGAGAAAAATGTCCTGTTTCTTTAACAGAGGCTTAATGTGTGGAAATGGGCATGCAAAGTTTTTAATGGCACGCAGGTAAATATCACCTAATAAATAACATTCCATTAGGTTTGTGTTAAAAGGGCAGGACACTTTTCCCAGGCAGTTGGCAACCCTGCTGCCACCGAGGGGGGGGGGGAAATGGCTGCTGCCAGAGGACTGGGAGAGGGAAACTCTGGGGAAACCTGCCCGTGGAAGCTGTTCTCACTGCCCTGTATCATCAGCTGCAGCAGCCACAGGGAACTAACTACACAACCCTCTCCCTGTGTGGAAAATACCTAACTGCTTAGGTTGGCATAATAAAGCTGATGCAGAAATGGCCAGAATTTGAGTTGCTACCTTTTTTGCTGACCAAAAGGGTTGCTTAACAGACAAATTTAAAAGATGCATGATGAGGAAAACTATACAACTTGAATTTCTGCCTGATCTGCAGCTGTTAAAAGATACTAGGTTTCTCTCAGAGTAAAAAAAAAAAAAGATAGGAATCCTGTTTGTGATCATGTTAACACATGGCAGCCAATGGATCATTTAGGATACAGGTAGCAAATCATTTGGACAAATTTGCAAAATTAATTATTGTGCAAAGTCAGGAGAACTCATGCAGAAAAGCTTAAAGCCTCAAAGAATTTATTTTGGAGTAGTCCCATTCCATTCAGAAGGAGTTTCGGGTGAATACTGTATGTAGCCTTGAGTATTCAATATGTAGTGCTCTGAACTCTGGGATTTATTTCTGAGTAAAGATTCACTAATAGTTGCCAACAGGCCTGGAGAAAAATGTCCTATCCCTTTAATAGAGGCTTAACTGTGGAAATGAGCAGTTGAACATTGTCGTGGTGTGCAGATAAATAACATCACCTGGTTAACCCCCCCCCCCCATTAAGCCTGTATTAAAGGGGCAGGGCATTTTCTTCAGGCAACCCTTTCAATTGCAAAAGACTAAATGTGGTTAAAAGCTGAATTCCTTAAGTTGTGCTGTAAACAGTGTAGACAGTGGGGTGCCATGCTGCTCCTGTGCCAGAGCAGAAATTCAACAGATGACATGTTTCCATTACTGTATTTTATATTCGCGCGGGGGGGGGGAACACCCCACTAAAAAGTGGCCTGTTATAAGAAAGCCCAAACAGGGAATAAAGGTGGCAGACCAAAAACAGATCAGATTTTTTTTTGAAATTTGCAGCAGGTTTGAATCAAAATTGTAAGATTAGATTATCACAGATCCTGTACTGTAAACAAACTAGGGTTTCCCCCCCAAAAAAGTTCTATCATCATCATCATCAATTATATTTATGAATCACCCAACCCCTGCTTCTGCAGGGCTCTGGGCAATGTACAACCACAGATAAAACAAGATAAAATCAGTTAAAACATTAGTAAAACATTAATCAGATGGTGAATAACCAATCCCCATTCCAGCTCCCACTGCTTCATGGATGGGGAGAAGAGGGCAAAATAGATGTACACAACAGAGAACAGGAAGGGTACCAGCCAAGATGGAATCGTTGCTGTCCTCAACCAAAAGCCTGGTGGAACATCTCTGCCTTGCAGGCCCTGCGGAATTGAATCAGATCTCACAGGGCCCTGATGGAATTTGACAGAGAGTTCTACCAGGTTGGGGCCAGGACCGAAGAGGCTCTGGCCCTGGTCGAGGACAGCTGGATGTCTTTAGAGCCGGGGAACAGTAGCAGATTGCTGTCTAAGGAGTGCAAGACTCTCCTGGGGATATAACAGAGGAGATGGTCCCTGACTGCTCAAGGCCTTATAGGTCAATACCAAAAACTTGAACTTGACTCGGTATTCCACTGGAAGCCAGTGTAGCTGGCACAGCACTGGAGGTCAGGACTCATGCCACTACAGGACTGTCAGGACTCATGCCACTGCATTCTGGATCAGCTGGAGCTTCTGGGCGAGTCTCAAGGGCAGGCCAGCATAGAGTGAGTTACAATAGTCTAATCGGGAGGTGATTGTTGCATGGATTACCGTGGCCAGATCAGGGCACGACAGGAAAGGGGCCAGTTGCTGAGCTTGGCATAAATGAAAAAAAAATGCTAGCTTTGCAGCCAGAGCAACTTGGGACTCCATACTTAAGACAGGATCCAAAATCACTCCCAAGGTCCTGACGGATTGTGCCAGTGTCAGTGGCACTCCATCAAGAGCTGGTAAAGTGCGCCCCAATCCTGAAGGCCCCCCCCCCCCCCCCCCCACCCCGTATGTTTTTATCTTCTACCACC